TTTTAAATAGATTATTGGACTTCCTGGACATGTTCTCATTTCCAAATGATTAAACATTTAAAGTATTTCAGTTAATGTCAAAAATAAGACTATTCTTGGAGTTTTCGGGGAATCATATGAAGAAGCTAACACTATACTCTTTTATTCTACTAGTGCATAAATTAGCATTATCTACTCTTATGCTAATGAAATGACCTACACATTTTGTTACCATTTGTCAATTGTTTAAACTGAGGAAGCTAAAAATTCTTGGAAGAGCAGCATGAGATGAATCAAAGTGCACGAACTGGACCAATTTAGAATCCAGAAATCAGGACACTAGTTCTGCCATTTACTAGTTCTTTAGCCTCAGCAAGTTATCTAAATTCATTGAACCTCAAGGTGCAATGAATATAGTGTGCTTGCTACTTGCCTATTTCTCTGACTGACTACCAAAAACCATTGGTTAAAATAAAAAACAACCGTGGAAAGACTTCAAAATGTTCACAAGGCTGGTGGATTGGGGAAGTCATTAAAACCTGAAGAAATGAAGGTGAGTTCCATAGTGTTTTCCTCTCTTTTCTCTTATAGTCTTAACCGGAAGGTGGGTCTTAGTCACATGGCAGTGGCTGAGATGTTGCATTTCTAGGCCAAGAAAATCCCCATATTTCTGGGAACCCTTGGGAAAAGGGCCCCTTATGTGGGGAAAATCTCCATCTTTCTCTCTTTTTTTATTCCTGTCTTTCCCAAGGAAGCCTCAGTGGAGAACTATATGTTCAGTGTAGGTGGCCAAGACTCCAACAGAAACCAGGTCTTTCTTGCTAGAGGATTTGGAAAATCAGTTCCCCTGGGCCATTTAGTGTGCGGAGGGATCCTAGGGAGGGTGAGTTGACAGGGATCCCCCAATTCGAATCTGTGTTAGTCCCAGGCTCTTCCCCCCAATGCACATGCGCAGTTTTAGACTCTGGACAGATCCAAGAGTTCAGTAGAGTCTTTGAAAATTGAGCTGAAAACATTGAAACCAGCAGCCACCGAAGAGATAGAATTTGTGGTCTGAACCTAACCAATATGATTGAATACGTCAGAAAAAAAAAAAAATCAACATTTTCCGAGGATTTGAACAGGATCCTAAATCTAAACAACATGAAATTCAAAAATTTCGGGTTATACTCTAAAATTACTCAACATACAAAACACCTAGAAAATATGATCAACTCTCAAGAGAAAAGAATTTTTAAAAGAGAAAAGATAATTTGATGGAATTATAACACAGACTTTAAAACTGTATTCCATGAGATCACAGTACACACACTTGAAATAAACAGAAAGATTGAAATTTTCTAGCCGAGAAATAAAATCTTCAAAAAGAACCAAATGTAAATTTTAGAACTGAAAAAACAAAATATCTGTAACAAAAAAAAATTAAGTTGGTGGGCTCAATAGCTGGAGGAATATGACAGAGGAAAGAGTGAACTTGAGGATTGGTCATCAGAAATTACCCAATTTGATGAACAGAAAAAAAAAAATAGAAGAAATGAACAGAATTTCAGGAGCATGTGGGACCAAATCTAAAGGTCTAACATTTTTTTTGAGTCATTGAGGATCCAGGAAGAGGGGAAAAATGATTGATATAGAAGAAATACTTGAAAAGTAATGGCTGCAAACTTCCCAAATTGGAGGAAAAATACAAGTTTATAGATCCAAGAAGCTCAGCAAGCCAAAACTGGATAAACTCAAAATCATGCTATGACACATCAAAATCAAATTGCTGAGAACTAAAGATAAAGAAGAAATCTTAAAAGCAGAGAAAAACTATATTTTATATAAAACTATGATTTGAATGACCAATAGTCATTATCAGAAATTATAAGAAATGATACATACAGTGCTTTATTAGGCAGATATCACAAATGGTATCATTATTTTAATTATAGTTTGTTTACTACATCTTAACACACTACATTCATTTTTTCAATCTATTCAACTTTCCCATAGTTTTCCACTATGCATGTATTTTTAAAATTATTTTATTTGTTGTTATTTTTTTTTTTTTAACGTGGAAAGCTGGGGATCAAACCCAGTGCCTCACACATGCTAGGCAAGTGCTCTGCCACTGAGCCACAATCCTGCCTCCACTATGCATATTTGATCCCAAGAATTGTGTGCAAATACATCTTGGCTATTATTTCTTTTAATTTAACCCAGATCTTTTGCTCTTGTTGAAATGAGTCTTGGCTAATTCATGTATTGTATTTAAACAAGTTTTTAAAAAAAATCTCTAAGTTTCTTCAAAGATTACACAGATTAAATGGATCTTTTACTGTCTTATGGAGACATGGTGAAGATCAAATGAAATATACAGAAAAATGTACAGATTTCAGTGCCCAACTAAGACACTGTGAGTCATGTAAATCACAGACAGTAATAGCCTGGAAAGCCTCATTCTTTTGGACAGTCTCCTAAGAAGGCATTTTAGATTGCTCTCTTGCCCACACCTCTAGGTTGATAAGGTTAGATGAGCGCCAGTAAACCTCCCTGGGTTCTGCCAGCTGAGCCACGGTCAATCCAAGCAGTGGCCATGTGAAGCTCAGTGTTTAACAAGGAATCCCTGGCTGTTGTTGGGTGTGCTTTTGGCCTGTATTAAATACTGTTTCCAGCAAAGTACAGATTCTAAACTCTGCATCTCTTTGGCACAGGAAACATGCAGTTGTGACATTAAGGTAAAAAAAAATTTCAAGTAGTTTCAGAGGATAACAAATTTCAACAAACACAACAAGCCAAAATGGATCAGAGAGCCCAGACATTCTGATAGTGTTTATAAATCCCTAACCCCCCTGTGATGATTCCCAGCTTCCCAGAGGCTGCAAGCAGGAGCATACAAATGATCTGGGAGCTTGCTCTCTCTCTCTGCCAAAGGCATATACATGGAACAACAGCCTGAAGCTACATTGCGATGCCCCGGGTTGGAGCCGAGTGAAGAACTCACACAAGTGAGATCTAATATGGGTTTTGACCTGATAAATATGGATATCCCCTTGCAAAGAAGGTCAGCACCCATTGGCAAGTATTAGCTTTAGAATTACCAATTATCCAAGTAGAAGAGGAGTGGGCAACTAAAGCAGTGACAGCTGATTTAAAGAGCCATTCGTAGTTCTCTGTACCAAGTGAGTGTACTCAAACACAAATGCTCCACCTTGAGACAAGCAGAGGCTACTGGCAGAATCAACCAGGTCTTTCCTGTGTTTAGTTCCCCATCTCTGAATCAAAGACATCCCTGCATACCTTTATGACTAAAGGCATCATAGAAACACCGAGTAAGACTTGGGAGTCTTGCAGATGGCTAGAGACATTCAGATTTTCAAAATTCTTGGCCAATCCTAAAGGAAAGCCACGCAGGCTACTTGGGTTTTTGATTCTCTGTTTAACAGAAGGCTGCGGGGTAAAAAAGAATGTGGAGCCTTTTAAAAAACAGGGTTTCTGCTTATTGCAATAGCATCCATGCATATAAGAAGGAACAGAATTTGAAAACGTCTAGATGGGAAACAAAGGCACGGAGAAAAGTGGGAACTAGCTTAGATCTGCTGATCTGAGCCAAAAATCTGATTCCACCCTGTAAACTCTGTCCTCATTTCTGTAAGAATGTGGTAGCAGGAAGTTTTCCTGCCCTCCCTCTACTTTCTGCCATGGTTTAGATAGGTTTGAGTGTGTCCTCCAAAGGTTCACATGCCTGCAGCTTGGTCCTCAGCAAGGCAATGTGGGGAGGAGCTGTCTAGTGGAAGGTAATTAGGTCAATGGGGGCACCCCCCCTCGGAAGAGATTAAAGAGGCTCTTGCAGGACGACCTAGGTTGGCTCCTGCATGAGTAAGTCCTTAAAGAAGAGTCAGCTTGGCCCTCAACTGTTTCTGGCTTCCATCTCATCTTGTGATCTCTCCTTCTTGAATATACTCCCACTGTGATGCCATCAATCATGTTACATGTAGACAGAAGGCCCTCCCCAGGGCTGAGCAGATACTGGTGCCACGTTCCTGAATCTCCAGAAATGTGAATGAAAGAAACAACTTTTCTCTATAAGTACCCAGACTCAGGTATGTATGTATGTATGTATGTATTTATTTATTTACTGTTGATGGACCTTTATTTTAGTCATTTGTTTGAGAATCAAACTCAGTGCCTCACACATGCTAGGCAAGTGCTCTACCACTGAGCCACAACCCCAGCCCCAGGTATTTTGTTAATAGCAACAAAACATGAACTGAAACACTCGCCCTTCTTCCTTTCCTTTTTCCTATTTGTACACATAAAAATCTGCCAATAATCCCACAAGTGTCCCCAACAGTGCCTCCTCATATGGATTTTATCACTTTTTAAAACTTGTGTAGTGTCATTAGTGTAATACAGTTATTCTCTCTCCTCTCCAGTATACCATCCTAACTATCAAAAAAATGACTTGTCCTTGCTATTGTTAGTCTTCATCTTTAAGTAAAATGTGGTTAAATCCAAGAGTATCTTTTTTTAAGCTGGGTCTAACTACTCCTTTTATGTGAACATTTTTTTCCTTACCCGATTCAAATTTTCTTTTATTTTTTTTAGTATCATAAACCCTCCCTTTCCATTCTCTTCCTTGGAAATTACCTATGATAATATTTCAAGCTCTTGCTTCTCTTATGGTACACTCATCATATCTCTGAAACCCTAATCCAAAAAACAAATTAAAGGAAGTATAGCCCAAGAATTCGGTTTGCTAACATTTTGCTCCAAGTTAGCAAACTGAATTACCAAACGTAATATTTATCTTAATATGATTTAGTCACTGATAAAATTTCAACATTAAAAAATTCTGTCAAAAACCACAAGAGAGTAAAATAGCAGAAGGATCCAGATACAAAGTTCAAGGCTTCAGTTAAAATGAGAGAGAGAGCCGTTAGATTAAAATGATCAACAGGCTAAGGCACCAGAGTACAAATCCTAGTGCTACTTAGGAACATGGGGTTTCTAAAGACAGAGCTGAGAAGGATTCTTACCTGTCCTCTGTTAGTTTCATTAAGGTTGTTCCTCGAGTAGAGAAGACAATGAAAGACATTCTTAGCTGGGGGCTGGAAAGGGAAAGAAATTCCATTAAGGCAGACAGAAAAGACCATAGCACACCCTTCCTTTCCATCAAGGTTTCTGACCCATTCTTCTCTTTGAATCATGGCTGCCAGAGCTGAGGACCTATAAGCATTTAACGAGCACTCATCTTGAAGCTGTGAACAAACCAAAGGGGTGGTGACCTGCTGTGTATTTCTGGAAGCCACTTCTGATTGGACACTATTGCTCAGTGAATGGATTACAAGAAAGAAAGACAAAGTCCATCACTACCCTGGGCTGTCTGAAGCATGGCCCTGAGAGACTGGTCTGCAAGGTGTCGACAGGTTCAGAAATTCTGGCAGACAAAGTCTGACTGTGTCCCCACAGTAGCCTGGTGGATCCTGTAATGAAGAGACTGTCTCAGATTGTAGCCGTTTGATGCCACCATCTGTTAACCTCATACCGTGACCTTCCTTTGATCTAAAAGTGACATCATCACCAACTTTTAATTTCTCGTTAGCCTCCCAAGGAGGTTATCTCATAAGGAGAGAATGAATTGACTGGCTGCAGGTTCTCTCTTCCACTTGGTATGTCTCATTCTCTTGTTCTTTTTTTTTTGGTAGGGGGGATTGAACCTAGGGTCACTTCAACACTGAGCTACATCTCCCATACTTTTTATTTTTAATTTTTCCCACATTTTTAGTTGGTTGCATTATAGCTATACATAGTGACAGGATTTGTTGTTACATATTAATACATGCACACAATACAAAATATAACAACATAATTAGGTCAATATCACTTCCCAGCACTTCCCACCTCCCACCCCTCGGACCCTTTCCTTCACTGATCTCCTTTTGATTTTCATGAGATCTGCCACCATCTTTCTTTTCCTTTTTCCTCTTTAGCTTCCACATATGAGAGAAAATATATGACCTTTAACCTTCTGAGTGTGGCTTATTTCACTTAACATAGTGGTCTCTAGTTCCATCCATTTTCTTGAAAATGACATAATCTCATTTTTCCTTGTGGCTGAATAAAACTTCACTGAGTATAATGCTATATTTTCTTTATCCATTCATCTGTTGGTAGACACATAGTCTAGTCCATTTTATTTTGATTTTGGGGGAGTTACCAGGGATTGAACTCAGGGGCACTTGACCACTGAGCCACATCTCCAGCCATATTTTGTATTTTATTTAGAGTCAGGTTTTCACTAAGTTGCTTAAGGCTTCACTAAGTTGCTGAGGCTGGCCTTGAACCTGTGATCCTCCTGCCTTAGTCTCCCATAGGTGTCATTCTTAATGAACAAATTGACATTGTTTTTATATGGCAATGTTCAGGAGCATTGTCAATGTAAAATTCATACTCTGGGAGACAGAACAACTCTCAGCTGAAGACAAACATACTTCCCACTCTGCAAGAATTCCAGACTGTAGAGGGTTTGGCAAAGCAATTCCATCCTGTGGGCTCCCTCTGGGTGACCAAATAGTGCATCCAGAAGAGCATCAAACTATGTCTTCACTAGATAATAGCCTCCCACACCTGATCTGGTGCTAATAGTTTCCACTTTCCAAAACGTTTCTCAAGCCTGTGGTTTTTCCTTTTCTTAGCTTAGGACCTTGACCTCAATCACCTGACCACTGCAGTTACTTCATAGCTCATGTCCTTGCTTAGCATCATTCATTGCTCCAATTAATTCTTCACACTTATCTCCCAATTATTTTCCAGATCTTGTCACCTATCTGCTTTAAAACTCTAATGGTTCTTACTGTTTCCAGGATAGAGTCTACATTATTTCTACATATGTGACACATCTCTAGAAACCCTTAGCATGGTGTTTAGTTCTTGGTAGGAGCCTAAGTAGTACCTGGTGAATTGAATACTGGTCTCTAGAAACTAACTTCAGTTCTCTGCCCTGATCCTGTGCTACCTGCTACCACCTCACCATTGGTTGGGCAGCAGGACACCATGTTATAAATGATAATTATAATCATGATGATGGTAGTAATATAATAGGGCCAATCTCAACAAGTTCTTACTATGTGCCACACACTATCATGATTTGGCTGTATGATCTCATTAAGCTTGGAACAACTTTATGGGATTGGCACTATTGTTATTCATCATTTCCATAAAGGGAAACTGAGGCTCTGAAAGATTAAAAACTATTTTCCTCAGGTTCCACAGTGGGTGAACGGTGGAGCTGGGGCTTGGAAGCTCTGATTCTAGAATTTGGGCTCTTAACTACTCTATTATACTGCCTTCGCTGCTACTGAGTTTGGCTCTGAAAAGGTTGGATTTGATGTCTTGGACACAACTGGTGTATGAGTCTAGGCTGGAGACAATTTAACTTTGTGAGTTATTGGGACACTGTTATGATGTGGCAAAGTTGTTCAGAGACAGTATCTACAGTGAGAATGGAGATGAGCCAAATAACGGACCAACGCCAACACTGAAGGGCTAATCAGGAGATTTGTTGTCATTGATTTTGCGGGGAACAAGAAGCAAGAAAGGTTAGTTTATGTCTGTAGACTGCGAGGAAGGAGAGGAAGGAGCCAGGGAAAAGTAGAGGAAGATACAAAAGTGAAACAAGGACCCACAGGAGACTAGAGATAATGGTATTAAGTGGGACCAAAATGGAGAGATTGTCTACAAGAGGTTGCTTGGTTCTCAGACACTGGTGGGAAAGACGTGCAAGCATCTTCTAAGGAGTAAGATTGGAACTTGAGGTCATCATTCCGTTTACTCTTCTCTGGGTCCTTAATGAGGTAGACTCTTTTCTGATAATGAGGGGTATGAGGTATAGTTTGGGAATTTCCATTTTGAAGAAAGTGGTGCAGAACTAGAATCATTATTAAGAAGATGGGAGGGGTGCGGATCAAGATAAATAAAAGGACTTGAAATATTAAGGATTCCATTGATGTCAGTCATTGTTAATGAATGCATCTTCCCCATGCAGTATCAATGTCTTAGACTATTCTTTAAAATGAATAAATAAAAATAATCCTTTATTCACTTATTTGAAAATACTGATTGAGCATGTATATGCTACTGGGTCTGCCACAGTCACAGGCACTTGGGCTCCAGCAGACAACAAAATACTATCCCTGCCTCATGGGGTTTCCATGATGGTAATACCTTAGTGTCAGACTTTGAGGGGGCCATAACCAAGGAGGACAGAGGTGACAGACAGCCAGAGGAAAGTGGCTCATGGTCTGGATTAAGTCACACCAACTTCTCTGGTCCTTAGTTATTCATTTATAAAGGGGAATGGATTAGTCCCTCCTTCCTTCCCCTTCTTTGGACTTTAAGATAGTGAAGAGACAGGGACAGCTGCAGGAGAGATGTGTGCCCACTGTAAGCCAGGTGCTGGGTTAGTAAGTTTGCACACAGTTTCTTTTGATAATCTCCACATGGAAATCAGGGGTCAGCTAAGGTAAGTAGACTGCTATGGTTGCATAATGGAGCTTGGATTCAAACCCACATCTGCCTAACCTCAAAGCCTGTCCCACTGGACTTCTGTGCTTCAGAGGGAGTAGAAATTGAGGGAAAAAAATGGAGGCAGAGCACATACTTTCAAATGTCTGGAGACAGATGTGTTTTAAGACACTCCAAAGGACCAATGAGTGAGAGTGCAGGAAAGGACATTTTGGCTCAATGACAAAAAGACTTTTCTGAAAACTGAAATTGTCCAGCTACTGGATTGTTTGCTTCAACAGGCAATAGTTTCTCTCCAGAGCTATTCAAAATAGGGGTTGCTGAAGGCCTCCTAAGACAGATTGGGAAGTTGTTCTTCCCAATTCTAAGTCTCAATGATCCTATTACATATTTTTCAATACCACTCATATGTTGCTTCTCTCTTTTCCCTGTATTTTTACTCCCATCCCTCCCTTTAGCATTTGTTTTCCCCAAATCATCAGAGTCTAAATGACTCCTGCTGCAGCTTCCAATTTGGGGCATTGAGGACAGGCCACTTCCTAATCCATTCCTTCTAATTAGGCAGTTAGGTATGTGTTGATCCATAATTGAATTTGGGAGAAGCATGTCTGTCACTACCTAGGCTCAAAGGATAACCTGTATTCCGAGATAAAGAATAGAATACAACCACAGAACTGCAACTTGTGTTATCCCTTGGAGGCTACACCAGGGAGAGTGAAATGTGACTCATGGGCACCATACTTAATAGAAAGCAGCACCTCGAGGACTCCCCCAATATTTAACTTGACCAGGTTTAAACCTATCTGGGAGAGTGGTGTAGAGGATGCTCAGAAAATTGTACCTGAGAGGGTACATGGCTGGTGCGAGCAACCATGACAATTTACCCAGGACTAAGGTGTGTTCCAGGGAGACTCTTGGTTTGAAAAACAGGAAGCTGTGGACAAACTGAGATAAGTAGTTTACACCTGATACACCCTACATACAAGTCTGCTAGAATGTGCCCACTCTTCCTGCATGATGCACTGTATAGAAAGAATGTTAATGATCCTTTAACAAGCATACATTATTCAACAACAGAGGAAAAAAACATTAAAATTTTTGGTTTTATATTTAAATCTGGCTCTTCCTGACAACACTAAGCCAAAGTTACTCTAATACATGGCATGGATCAAAACAAATTGTCCCTGATCCAAGACTTGGTAGTTCACCTTTGTCAAAAAGCATCCCCAAAGTGGTTAGGAGTTTGCACAACAACATGATAGACTGGTTTTACTCATGGCAGAGAACTATAAGAGAAGTCAAAGCACTGCATTTCTCACCTGATGAATTTATGAGCCAGCTGTTCCACAAAGTAGTAGATCTCATTCCAGTGATGAAGCACGCTTCCTGACCTAGGAAGACAGAACAGGTATTGTTGACTCAGGAATTCATTTGTCTTCATCTCATGCTATTTCTCTTCATATTCTATCATTTTACATTTGACTTATCCATTAGCAGGGCTCACTATCTTGGTAACTTTGGAAATTATCCGAAAGGAGGTTTAGACTCCTGTTAGAGTTCTTAACATTTTTGTTCAAGAACTCTCCCAACTCCATCTCCACCATCCCCACTGCTACTCCACATACTGATGTGTTTTTCATACATGCACTGAAAAATACACAACCACACAGAAACACTGATTCATAGGTCAGTTCCAAATCTTTGCAAAATGGTCATTTTTGTGCTATTTAAATTATTTCTCTGATGGCAGAAGAGAAGTTATTCCAGTTCTTTTAAGTGAAATCAACATAGAGAAAACAAAGATACACAAACTCCCAAGAGTCCAACTTCATTTGTAAATATAGATGTGAAATCCTTAAATAAAATATTAGCAAGGAATCAAAAAAATCATTAATTAACTGGTAGAGTTCTTTTCAGGAAGGTACAGACAGTCAAACGTTTAAGGAAATCTAATGTGATTCCTCATATTGTAAACAACAACAACAACAAAAAAAACACTCCTATTCTGCTTTTTATTATATTAAAAAGGAATTCTCTTGCTGAAAAGAGGGAATTTGTTTTTCCAGAACATTTGGAATCACAGGATTTTAGATATGGGAAGGATCTTCTTTAGTTCCTAAATCTGACTACTGTTTCACTATTATCATGACCTACCACTTCAATTTAGCTCCTATGTGTTTTCTTTCTTTTTTGTGGGGGTGGGGACATGAGGCGGTACTGGGGATTGAACTCAGGCACTTGACCACTGAGACCACTGAGCCACATCCCCAGCCCTATTTTGCATTTTATTTAGAGGCAAAGTCTCACGGAGTTGCTTAGTGCCTTGCTTTTGTTGAGGCTGGCTTTGAAGTCATGATCCTCCTGTTTCAGCCTCCGCAGCCACTGGGGTTACAGGTGTGCACCACCGTGTCCTGCTCCCCCCCATGTGTTTTCTGCAGGGCTTGTATTCATTCTGCTACAGTGAGTTCATATTAGCTTTTTCTCTTCAAACCCACTCCTTCCTGTTGCTGAGATGCTTCTTCCTTTCACCTACTGGTCTGTGTCAGCTGAGCCCTAAATCTCTGCCTGCTATCTAATAATTGCTGAGTTCAGACTTTGCTTCTGTTACTGTATTTCAAACCTTTCCCATTAGGTTTTGATTACTTTTTTTGTACTCATCTATTTGCAATATTAGTTTCTACAGAGTTACTTGTTGCTATGTTTTCCTTGTCTCACACTATTTTATAGACATTTAAGAGGAATATGGGCAAAGTAGATTTTACGTCCTTCTTCCCAGGATACAGTATTCCTAAGAATTCTTATTTTGATTGACTCTGGATCTCTATGAAGAGTATGATTTTTCTCTGTCTCATATCCAGAAATGAGAAATTTTTTTTTTCTACATGAAAAAAGTGACTCAGTATGTTATGGTCATATAATTAAAGACTCCATATGCTAAGGATGCCTCACTTTCCCCAAGTTTACCTATAATTTCAATTCTAGGGAAAATACTGAAAAAAAATTTTGTGAAACTTAAAAACTGATTGTAAAATGAAATGAAGATCAAAAGTCGAAAACTATTCAAGATGATGCTGAAAAAGAAGAACAAGGGGAGAGGGATTTCCCTATCAAATATAACGACCCCTGTATACCTGGCATAGAACATTCCAGAGAGTGAATGCAACAGCATAGGCAGCCTGCTGGAATTCAGATCTGGGATTCCCCCAAAGGTCCAAGTGTTGAAGACTGGCCCTCAACTTGGTGCTACTGGGAGGGGGGGTAGAAACTTTAAGAGTTGGGGTCTAGTGGGAGGTATTAGGTTGCCAGGGACATGCCCTAGAAGAGGCTGGGTATGCCCTAGAAGAGGACTGCCAGACTCCAGCCTCTTCCTCCTCTCTCTTTGCTTCCTGGCCACCTGAGGTGAACAGCTTCATCCACCCCTTACTCCTGCCATGATATGCTGCCACACCACTGGTCCAAAAGGAAGGAGTCCTGACAATGGGCTGAGATCTCCAACACTGAACCAAAATAAACCTTTTCTCTTTATAAGCTGATTTTCTCAGGTATTTGTTACAGAAACAGAAAGCTGACTGACAGAGCTCAAATCTCAACCTATGTGAGCTACAGAGGAAGAGAGACAATTCAGATTTAGGAGGGAGAATAAATCCTCTGGCACAAGATCTCGTGACAAACAGTTTTCTTTAAAATTTAAAAAAAAAAAAAAGTTAAATTGCTATTTCTTACCAAATGTAACCCTAGATATATTTTAAATCTAATGGAAAAAACACAATTTTTTTAAATCTGTGAGAATTATTAATGATTCTTATGCCCTCAGATCAGTACAGGGGTTCTCAAAGTAGGTATGGAAAATTAAAAATCATTTCTTAATAAAAGCATTATGTAGTTTACTCTAAACACTACATTTCTGAATGATAAAAGATATCATAAACATGTTAAAAGACAAGAAAATAATGAAAGATGTTTGCAATGATTATGTAAAACAAAAGATGGGAAATCAACATTTGAAAAATATTCAACTCCTCTAGTAAACATAGAAATGCATAAACAATTGTGAAATACCGCTTTACACCATTCAGATTTGGAAAATGTCTGACAATATTTGTGTTGGTGAGAAAATGGAATCCTCTTATATTGCTGATAGACATGGGAATTGATGGAACTGCTTTGGAGAGCCATTTGGGAATGCGTAGTGTGGTTCAAAGTAAGCATTTCCTAAGACCAGGATTATCATTTGTGGAAACAAGGAACGTGCAGAAGGATTTTGTGTAATAAGGATGGTGACTGCTGCATTGTTTGCCACAGAAAAGTGTTATAAATAACCCCAACTTTAGGAGGTAAGAATGCTGGGAATTGGACTCAGGATATCACACATGCTAGGAAAGTGCTCTTCTGCTGAGCTTCACCCCCAGCCCTTTAAAAAAAATTATCTTGAAACAGGCTCTTGCCAAATTGCCTAGGCTGCCCATGAATTTGTGATCCTCCTGGCTCAGCCACCTGAGTAGCTGGGATTACAGGCATTACAAATGACCTCAATATCCATCAACATGTAATCTGTGAACACACACACACACACACACACACACACACTGCATATTTCTTTAAAAAAAAAACCCACTAAAATAAATGTGAAAATCTGTTAATAGTTACTTATTTTATATAGAGAACTCATGAATATTTATTAAATTTTTATTATTTTTTAAGAACATAGATTGGCCATGCATAGTGGTGCACACCTGTAATCTCAGCAGCTCAGGAGGCTGAGGCAGGAGGATTGCAAGTTCAAGGCCAGCCTCAGTAACTTAGTGAGGCCCTAAGCAACTCAGTGAGACCCGTCTCTAATAAATATAAAAAAGGACTGGGGATGTGGCACAGTAGTTAAGCATCCCTGGGTTCAATCTACAGTACCAAAAAAAGAATATACATTGTTCTAGAATTTTACAAAAGACTCTGTAGACAATCAAAATCCTGGGTCCTTCCATATAAAGATAAGAGATATTCAATAAAATTCTATTTTTATGAACTGATTTTAAACCCTACTTCGTCTAATTTGAGATAGTATTTGGTATAACCAGCAGCAACAGGGGAATTATACTGAGGATTTCATATTTCTCAAGTTGCAAACATAATTTATTGCCTAGCACTATTATTGGGCTGCCCAACAGGCACAGATGCATAAGAAATAGTGCTTTCTCTCTAAGAACTCAATGTGGAACGGGGGATACAGATAAATTAAAATGTCACATGTCATGACAAGTATTATTGAGGTCTGTGCTTTTGAAACAAAGAAAAGGGAATGGCTTGCTGTGTCTATGCAGGCTCTGAGGAGGGGACGGTCTTTGACCTGGATCTGGAAGGATGGCTAGAGTTGGGGAAGACAAGGGAGAAAGAACACCCTCATGAAACACTGAAGTAGGCCAGGCCAGGCTGTGCTGGGGAGGATGGAGCAGATTCATGTGGCAGCACCATAGAGCCCATGGAGGATGGGGTGAGGCGTTGGGGAGAAGGGGCAGGGGTCAGGATGAGCAAGAGGTACAGCAATCTCTTTTGTTGGTTCCCTTCTTGCAGCCTTTGTACCGTCTGTTTGGGACAATCTTGTCCCCACTAGCAAACTCCTACTCGTTGTCTAAGACTCAGCTTGGTGCCACCTGTTGCTTTTGACCAACAGAGAGGGACTCATTGAGCCTGCCTCAGGTTCCCGGGGCACCATGTGCTGTCACCACTGTCTGGTAGTCAATCATGATCATATTTTTCCTCAAGCTCCCAAATCTCATGGATGCCTCTATTCTCATGGAAGCCTCCTGGTCCTCTACCAACCTGTTGGCCAACAAGTGAAATCACCTTGGCTTGAATAAGCAACCTGGGTTTGGATTCAGATGGCTCCACACAATTCCTGTGACCCTGTGTGAAACTAAGGAGCTTTCCCATTGCTCCATGGTGACTGGGTCTGCCTGACCATCAACAGTGGCTTCAATAAACAATGGCTGCTGGGAGTCTCCAAAGAGCTCACCAGAAAAGCACATCTTTGCCTCGGGCTTTTAAAGCATTGGAAACCGTTTCATCCGGACCTCAGCCATCCTCTTGAACAGGATTCCCTTGTATGCTTTGAATCTCTAAGACTGGGTCCTGGAGGCTCTTCTTTAGCCATTGGGTAGATGCTCTGGCCCTGGGGATGTTAGGTGAGGTTCTAGCAGGTGAGTGGCCCCACAATGTCCATGTGCCTTAGAAGAGGCTGCACATGACCGTCTAGCAGTCATAGTCAAATCCAGAATCTACATCTCCTTTGCACAGGGCTTAAGAGATTTCCTTGAAGAAGATCCACACTTACTTCTGAAATGCAATGCTGTTTTTTGGTCTATATTAACAGAATTTGAAATCTGAGGAGTAGGGTAAG